AGCAGAGCGTCTCGTGGCTCAGAATTGAGGAAAGCGCTAGGGACACAGACCAGGGAGCCCCCAGACTGCTGCTCGGAGACTGTCTGGCTCCCGGGTGCCTACGCTTCCCTGGGAGAGCTTGCCTCCAAAGCACATACTCGGGACCATCCCGGGAGATTTTCATGAAATGGGTCTGGGACCAGGCCCAGGAATCTGCATTTTTAAAGCACCCAAAGCGGTGGGCTAAGATTCTTGAAGAAGATGCCTAAAGATACAGAAGACCCTTCTCCTCTTGCTGTAATGCCACCCCTGGGCGGAAGGTGGAGGAGCTAGAAGCAGATTGAGACTGAGAGGGAAGAAGAAAGCCACAGCCAGTCACATCCTAGAAGCCAGAAGCAGGGTGTTGGGGGCCAAGGAGGTCTGGGGATGAGGGGAGGCTGGGTGTTCGGAGGGACGCAGGCCGTGAGACTGAGGCATGGATTGGGCTGGATTGGAGGTGAAGGGAGGGGAGATTCGGGATCCTCAACTCCTGCACCCAGCCCTCAGGTCTCACCTGGAGCCACCTGGGGGAAAGGTGAGGTTGTTGGGAGCCTTTATAGAGGAGTGCAGGTGGGGCGCAGGGCGTGAACCAGCTTTCCGTGGGGGGACCCTGGGTGAGGGCAGCCCAGGGTGCAGGATGAGAAGAGCTGGTCCGGCTGCCTTTAGTTGATGAAAATCCTGTCTGAAGAGCCAGCCTGATATGTATATTTACTCTGGAAGAATGGCCATTAGCAAAAGAAAATATAGATTCTGTCCTCATAGTTTCCAGGGGCCAAGAGGTAGGCCTTCTTCCTGGCTGCTCTGAGGGGCTGAGGCTTTGCCTTGAGGAAAAAATCCTGAGCCCAGATGTTGCATTAGCCAGAATATTTTGCCATTTTCATTTGCAGTGACAAGATTCCTAGGAGCGGTGCCCATTCCTGAGACTTAACTCTTAATGTAACTTATTTGTGTCGCTGCTGCAATTGCACAGATAAAGTGTGAGAAATCTGTTTGTCTCGCAGCAGCGTCCCCCTCCTCTCTGGCTGTGTTTTGCCTTCTCTGTCCCTCTCCCCTGCCGGTTCCAGTAATACAGAGATACAGACGCTTACACGGCTCATTACTGCCCCACACTCTCTGCAGTGCCGGATGTAATCAGGTGGAGAATGTTCCCTCCTTGCACCCTAAGGACAGGGGGATGGGGCCTCTTGCTCAAGACCCAGTGGAGGCAGAATGGGCTGGCAAGTCGAGAGAACGTGAGCGGCTTCTGCAAGAGGCAGAGCCGTGGCCAGCAAGCTGAGCCCGCCTGCCCCTGCTGCGTGCGGACCTGGCCAGGCTCAAGGATGCCAGGGCCCAGGTGGCCTCCGAATGCCTCACCCACTCAAGAAAGCTTACGGTTACTTCGAGCAAGTTGCCTGCAATAGGCACAGCACCTGCTGCCGTTCCAAGGTTACGGATGCCAGGTTTTGGAGATCTGCCTCTTACCCTAGTTTCCCTTTGTTTTTCAAATTCAGAACAGAGACTTAGAAAGCTGGAAAGAAGCCTGGAGTCTGTTTGTTCTGTTCTGTTCTTATGTTCTTATATTTTACAGGCAACCACGGAACAGAGAGCAGCATGGTTTGTGCCAGAGTCAGGACTGGAACTCAGTTTTCCCCATCCCTGTGCTGGTCTGTTCTCTACCTTCCGTTGCCTCTCCAGTCCTGGCAGTGGCCTGGGGCTAAGAAAAGTGCACAGTCTGAAATGCCACTTTGAGTTGGCACTCAGCTGGGTGACCTGCTCTGTCTGTGCGGCTTCTGGAGGGGCAGCAACTGGTGGCGGGTGAGGAAGAAACATCCCACATCAAGGTCAGCCCTGATTCATCTTTGAGCATCACCCACCCTACCCATGTTGTCTCTAAGCACTTCCCGTCTCGGCCCACTGTCTGTCTTCATAGCCTGTGTCTTCGGCTTTCTTTCGACATTGCTTTCATCTCATTTCCCTTTGTTCTGTGTGTGTAGGTAGGAAAGACGTGTCTGTCGTGAATGTATGTTGGGATGGGTTCACGGTGCAGAGTCCAAAGGGTCTCTAGAAACCAAGCTCACAGTCTTTGACGGCAGACAAACACAAATGCGTGCCTGGGATGCAGGGTGTCTGTTTGTGTGGCTTTGGGGAAAATAAGCAGATCGGTTATAAATGTTCAAATGGTCCCTTAAAAGAGCATTCAGATTAGGTGGAAGAGGGGAGACAGAAGTGGTAAGTGGGCTCAAACAAGCTAATTGTTGACACGGGCTTCGTGTGGTTGGCTGCATTGGGATACGAAGCTGTGCCTTTCCTAGGAGCGTTGGAGCCCTAACCCCCATGTGTATTTGGAGATGCAGCCTATAAGGAAGTGATTAAGGTCAAATGAGGTTATAGTGGTAGGGACTGATTGGCTAGGATTAGTGTCCTAATAAGAAGACACACCAGGAAGCCCTTCTCCACCCCACAGCGCTCTCCCTCTCGCTCCACTCCCTCTCCCACCTCTCCCTGTTTGACTTATTTCACTTAGAATCATCGTACCTAAATCCACTCATTATGCTGCTACGGGCCTGAGGACATTGATTTCATTGCTGAGTGATTCTCCATTGCACGTAAGTGCCACAACTTCGCCCAACCCCTCCTCCCCCTCCTCTCCCTCCCCCTCCTCTCCCTCTCCGCACTTGCAGAGGAAAGGCCATGTGAGAACGAAGTGGTCGTCTACAAGCCAGGACGAGAGCCCTCATCAAAAACAGCTGACAGATCTTTCTGGCTTGATCTTGGCCTTCTGGCCTCCAGAACTGTGAGAAAACAAGTTTCGGTTGTTTAAGCCCCCAGCCTGTGCTATATAGTTATGGCAGCCCTAGCCAGCAAATCTCCACACACTGTTGTGACACACTTCTCCCCTGAGTTAATGGTACAGAGGGACAAGCGCCCGGATCACCTAGTTGTCAGTCCTGGAACCCTTCTGTCGGCCACATCCCGCCACGGGCAACCCCAGTGACTCACGGGTGACTGCAGGGTCAGTGGCAGAGCAGCAACCCAGCCACACCCTTTCTTCTAAGTTTTATCAAGACCTAGGGATGGACATTCAACAGACACCAAGGTGTGGGCAGAGCCAGTGGCCCATGATTGTCTCGGATCCAGAGCTGTGGAAAGGGCAGCTTCAGAGCTGATTCCAGATCTGGAAAATTCAAGAGTTACCATTTGCTGTGTGGCTGAGATTGATTCCGGACAGCGAGGGTGAGGCTTCCACTCGGGAAACAGAGCTGAGCCCCCATCTGGCACGTGAGGGAGCGTGAGAGTGTGTGTGTGTGTGTGTGTGCCCATGGTTCACACCCTCATCCTCTGGGCAAACTCTCCAGCACTGAGGAGGGGTCTGGGTCTGGGTCTCATCAGCACCTCTTCACTAGCTATGCGTACTTCAGTGTCACTTAGCCTCCTGGGTCCTCCTCTTACCCATCTTTAAAATGGGGTTAGTAACCTGTCTTGCATGCAACTAGCATGATGCCTGGAAACCAATAAATACTTGGTAAATGGTAGATATGATGATGATCATTATGAATAATGACCCAAGTACTTCCATTTTAAAATGAAGCTTTCAGAATTAAGTCATTAGCCCTTTTTGCCTTGGGCTGGAGGAATTAATTATACATTCATACTAGTGTGATTTCCCCATGGAGACAATCTTCTGGTAATCCACCTGGTGTCTAGGCTGGGTTCCCCCCGCTGCTGCTGTGTACAAATAGCAGAACACTCATCCCTCTTAAGGCCACCAAGCAGCAGTTTATTGTTTTGGTGGGGGGGTGGGGGTGGGGAAGCCCTTCTCTGGAAACATAAAACAATATTTCATATGCACGTGTGTGAAAGCCATCATATTCTACATGCTTGCTACCTAAACTGTGCAGACCAACCCCCTGAAGTCTAGCCACTGAGGAGAAAGAAAGAAACCAAGGAGGTGGAGCTGGCAAGCCTGTCTTTGAAGGAGGCTGGAAATCGAAAGCATAGGCATTCAGGCAGGCAGAGGAGTGAAGGAACATGCTATACCCACCTGCCACTGCTGATGAGGGGCTTATTTCTAAGACACACACAGCAAAATGCACACACAATGCAGAGAGAAAACAGAAGACATAGATCACACATTTCAGATGGTTGGTGGACAAAAAGTTTAAGTTCGTGTCAACGCTGAAAGCTTGTTCTGGGTCTGAGGTCCACATGAAAAATGAATACCTTTCCATCCTATTCACCAGACGCTTCCCTCTAACCAAATCTCGGCAAATAAACATGCACGTACACACATGGACTATCGCCACAACCTGGGCCTGGCCCGTGGGGTGAAATGTTGCACAAGGAGATGGACACAGCAGCGCGAGAGTTGAGTGAGGGAGGGTGAGGTCTCCCGAAGGGCCGCTCAGGGCTCTGGAGGCCCCTCCCCCGGTGTGGGAGGGAGAGACCTGCAGAGAAGGGATGGCTGGCTCAGCTGTGGACAGAGCAGTCGTCCCGATGAGGACTCAAGCCCCCTGCTCCATTCGGTTCAATGAATGAGAACATGCAACCAACATGAGAATCATGATGGCAGCAGGTAACTTGGTTTAAAATTTTTAATATAACCCCTGAAGTCATCGACTCTACTACTGTATCTACTGTAGAGGGTATCTTAAAACTATATCTAATTTACCCCTCCGACCAAGTAGACCGTACTACAATCGACCTGTTCCATGGTTCCGTCTTGTTTACGGTAACCACTGTGCAGCTTGGTTCAGAGTTCGGTTTACTCCTTTGCTGAGGGGCACAGCTCACCTTGCGTGAGACCAGGAGGTATCAGTTACCTTGCAAACACCACGTACCGTGTGCCAGGAGAATGACGGTAGAGGTGCGTTTGCATCTGAGGTGGGGGGTTGAGCCCTATGGGCGGACACAGGCCAAGCAGGGTGCGCCCTCCTCCCTCCCGAGTCCCTGCAACCGCCCCCCCCCGCCCCGCCAAGCCCCACGTCCAGGCCTCCTGCGCTCACCATACAGTGTGATGCTGGCGTTGGTATTCCCAAGCTTGTTCGTGGCCACACAAGTATAGTTCCCATAATCCTTCTCTGAGACATTGAAGAAGGTCAGTGTGGATGTGTGGCCTCTGTTC